GCTAAAGCCGTAGGAGCTTCGTAAAGGTTCTAGTGTGCAAAGCATTAGTTAGGCTTTGCATGTGAGGAGGTATTTTCGATAATGTCAGGCATGTTTAAGGTGTGTGTTTAACGTTTTTTACATCACGAAATATTTTGCAGTCTAGATAAACATTTGGTCCTTAGCAGCGCGACAAATGATTGATTTGCGAAGCACAGTGACGTCTATTTGACATATGTAATATTCTCACCTTCGTTTGAATTGTAAATTAAAGTGTCGTGAATGCGGTGGGCCAGAAGTGAACAAATCTCTAGGAAGGCTCCCATCAAGCCTAAAGGGAGCTCTTTATGTTTTCCTTGTATGAGGTTTTGAACTAAAATAGCTATCTTAAAGATCATTCAGTGCAGCTCACAGCCTTGCGCTTGTTAGGACCTAAACCCCTCTAGTTTCTTAGCTAACGCCCACGACGATGTGCAAACTATCTCAAGGTCACCCAGTCATCCACGACGCCATAATTACGTCCATTAAAATCCTGCAATTTCAATGGTCATGCGGCGATCAAGGCCAAGCAAAATATCATTGTCGAGTCATCTATATCTAGCATTTCGCTTTCCCAGCATAACGGCCGTCAATTGGCTCTCAATCGATGCTGTGCAAGGTGTGATGGTACATCAAATAATGGCGCCTTGAGGAGCATCCTAACTAAACAGAGAAATTGTGTTGCATGAGCAAACTTTTCCACTTAGTATAACGATTGTTATAAGTGAGCCTATGTCATCATATATGATGATTGCTTCACAATGTTCAAATGTAGAACATTCCCCTTTAACGTAGCGCAGATGCCAGTGCCTTATCACCCACCGGCACTTTTCAGTTAGTTGTTAATGCATGCAAATTAAAATGAATGTGACTCAAGTTGACACCCCTGCCGTCGTACTAGCTCAAGCCGGCGATGTAATTGGTGGATTATTCCAAACCAGATATACTGACATTTTTGACCGCTTCATCCTTTGGTTCCCTTCAGTCCTATGAATTATCTTTAGTACCACGTGTGACTAGGGGTCCACGTCTCTAAGCGCATCCCGTCCAGACACGGTATTGGGAAGCCACCAAATACTCAGCAAAGAACGTAAACGGTGCTGGCGAGCAAGAGTTGTTGGGGGCGTAATGTCTTACTTGAACTATGTACAAGTCTCGACTTGAACAGCTCGATAGTCCAGGCCGTCATGCGTTCTAAAAGCTTAGGCGCTCCTTTTTAGGACCAATAACAATAGGCTCAAGCGGGTTTTCAACAAAAATATCAGATTCATTACAACCTGAGCTGCATAAATTGTTGTTTGCTTGTCGAGTAACCTGTCTAGCGAGACCAGTTTGCCCTGCAGCATTGCGATGCGACAGCGATTTGATATAAGCCGCTCGATAAGCATGCAAAAATTATTCTCAAAAGCTGCAAACACGGATAAGAACTTAACCCGGATCTCAACGAGTGGGTGTTGTGGTGGCCCGGAGCTAACGTGTTCTGACGGATCAGAAAACGGACCATCGCGTGGAAAGACGCAGCGGTCAATGAGTACAGGTGGTGTCGCGCCCTCGTGCGCAGACCGTCAGTCCACCAACTTAGGGACGTTTTGGGGATTGATGGGCTTCATTTTCATTGGAAAACCCTGCGAACTCTCGTTGTCCCGTATTTGTCCCGCACCTGACCAGCAGCGTAATTCGTCGGGGATATCCATACATTCGTCCGCTTATCCATATCATTATCCAATATCCATACATCATTGTCCAAGTTGTCCTTGGATAGCAAGTCATATAAAAGCTGCAAATTCAGCTGACCCAAATGGATTATTCCTAAAGCACCTGACGACTTTTTTGCCTTTCTGGTGTTCCGGATCACAAGGCTCTCGTATTTCATATTTGGCATCCCGTCACACCGCATGCGGCGCCCCCATCGTAGGTGGCGCTATCAGCACTATCAGCGGCGTCACTGCAAACGTGTCTGCCTCCGGCATCGCTAGATGGCACCGTACTCGGTACACTGTATGGTTCCATTACCGATCATACTGTCAACTTTGCCTGCTTTACCTTTAATAAGTTATGATACGTGCTGCCTGAGATAGCTTCATCACTTAGAGTTTTCATTTGGTGAATGGTTTCCTCATACCTTGCATATCTTTCCCGACGGCAACAGGCCAGCCCCGCCTCCTCGTTCTTTCACTGCAGCGTGCTCTCACGATAGTCAGGCCACTCGCGGCTCCTCCGTGAAGTACAATGAACCTAGGCTAGAAGTGACTTAGTTAATGTTAGTGCGCTACGCACAACGGTGGTGACCTCGAGCGCTCACGCCACGCTGACCAGTGCCGCAGTGTTTTCTGACCGCAGAACTGCGGGCCGTGACTCGGAGAGGGACTAAACCGCCGACAAGACCTGTTTTCCAGGACATGATGATTGGGCAGGTCAAGGGTTACCAAAAATTGCCGAATTTACATGAAATTATGTTGCAGACAACCCGTGCTCCCAGTCTACAGAGTCAGTCATGCATGAACCCTTTACCAATCGAAGCATCATGGAAAAAATTAGAAGCTATTATCGATATGAGAGCCTATCTGGGACATGGTTGAGTTAAATGAAAAATGACCCAAATAGGCCCGAATCTACGTGAACTTAGTTTATAAGTTAGCTTAACCCCATCCCCTGAGCGTATTGGATCGATTGGCACAAAACCTGCATAAATCGATGTGCCGTAGTCGACACCCTGTCCTTCCCAGGACATGGTGACCTTGGGTCAGGTCGAGTCACCAAATGCGGCCGAAACCTAATGCAATTAGTTTGCGGACAACTCCATGCTCCGAGCCAAGGGGGCTGATCGGCATCAAATCCGTCTTAAAATATTTGCCTTCCCGCAGCCTCCTGAAGCGGCTTAGGATCGGCATCATTTCTGGGTACGTGATGGATCCACTACGAATTGAAAGCGCTGTTGCCAAATGATGGTCGGTTTCGTCAGTGCAAAATAATCAATTTTTGTGTCGAAACTTGATGATAAAAGTCCTTCTACCGCGTTTTTGAAAGCCGTGGGACGGATTATTTTTGCTAAGCTACGAATGTCTATATGCTGCCGCACAAAGTTTCACACAGCTGAAATATTGCACATAGTTCAAGGGAGCCCCATTATGTGGCCAATATCAGCTTGCGCCGCCAGCAACTGAAGACCGAACAACTGAAATTGGTGTCGACATTGCAAATCCTTATGCGAGAACTGCTGCAGAGATGGGCGGCCAGGATATCGAACTGCCTTGGTGCCAATAATGAATAAGCTGTTGGGGGTCAGATGCATATCACCGGGTTAGGGGGGGGGGGCAATGCTTAGTATATAATGGGAGTATGATGGTGTGCTTATTGCAGGTGTATATGTCAAGCGGTTGAAACTCTATCAGCATAAAAAGCGAAAATGTGCACGCGTGGGCTGTTGGAGATATGCAGCCTTAATATCGAGCCGCCTCTTTACCAGTGAAAGGAGATTATTGCTGGCAGGTGTGTATACCTGCAAACTGATCAGGCCAAGTTAATTGGCAAGCATGAATATATGTTTTGTAAGCTTTACTCAGCAAAATCATTAAAATTAAATCGGCGCAAGAAGTGAATACGCCTACGCAGGGGTGCAGGCTCTAGGGAGGGAGATGAGCTCCAACTGTCTTGAATTTTAGCATTCAGCCATGGGCAGCCTCACTCGAAAAAGCAACCACCTTGGTTATGTCCACACCCCCAATTCAGGAGAACTTCCGCTGCCCCTGTTTCTATGCGGGAGCCGGCTAGCATTCTGCGCTGAGCACCGGTCATAAATTAGTTGTTACATGGTTAAGTAGCACGGTTTTACGGGGAAGTGTAGGGAGCTGTGCAAGGAGCATGGAAAGCCCATCCTTTGTTATGAGGCACGAATGTTGCCGCGGAAGACTGAGATAGTGATGACCAATGCCAAACGCAGCCAGGATCCGACCGATGCCATGAGCCAGATTCATACAAGCATGCGCGCTGCCTTTTGTTTGTTTAGACGTGCTGTCCATTTTTTGTTTTGACATCCTGGTATCACATCTACATGTCGTGTTCTGCACTACGGTTTGGCTATCCATGATTTCACCCGCATGCCATTTTGACACGTTAAACACAGCAACGGATGTCGGCGTCCTAAGGACGCGACATATGTGTCTCAACACTCACGGCGAATAAGCAGCCGGATAGGGACCGTGCATTGTCGGCCTTGCGCACAGGCTTGGGCCGAGCACGCCCGGCCTCGCAGACAGGCAGACCGAGTATGCGGAATGTAGACCGGTACAGACCAAACACAGCCGGCTCATTAGACAGGTACATACCGATCACGGCGGAATATAGATAGACATGGACCGAGCACGTTGCTTCCGGTACATCTAGTGCAAAACAAAAATGCTGCAGTAAACAACAGACTCGCGACGCTCGCCACTCACTCGCGCCAACGGCGGCGGGACGACTACGGGGTGCGGCGCGATGCAAGCTCGAAAAGTATTATGGCCTGCCGCTTAAGGTTGCCACGTGCATCATCAGACTCGTTGCTAAATTTTGCGCAGTCGGCTCACTGCTCATATACATATTCCATAAACAGTTGGTTTGTTATCGATACGAAGACAGCCCGATGTTCCTACTGCCCATGGCCAATACGTATCGTGTGTACGTCTGAATGCATTCTGGTGGTTTGCCGCATAGGTTTGCGAAGCACAGCATCACGTTCGTTATAAAATATATGCAAGCGGCTGGCTGCTTATATGTTCCTCCGATAACGGCTTTTTGCATTATCTGTCCGAATATTTCGATGCTTGTGTTGCCTCTTATCATCACGTGCGGTGCCTCTCGGCCCACCGCGCATTCAAGTCCCGGCACCAGTTACGTCACGCCAGAAGATGAAGCGAGAATGGCCGGCCAGTTTGGTTCTCTTTACGTGGCCTTGCATTAACCGAGCCAAGGGTATTAAAATAGCGTAATAGTTTCGGGTGAAGTGGGGATTTGTGTGACGGTGTCATTAACCCATTCAAGCATTGGACGTTGGACGATAATGATTTGTAATTGTATGATCTAAACTCGTTCATGCACTGAAAGGTGCGATTCGGAGAGTTTGTTTCTATCATGGGTAATGATGGGCAAGAGATACTAACTGAATATGTAAGTGTAAATCGCTGTTTTACATGGCTGTGCTTGATGTGGTACTTACGTCGGTGACATATTTTGCTCTAAGACCAAAGTACATGATCATTCATATGAGGGAATGCTCAGCTAATTTTTACTGGATGAAGCCTTGTGATTTCACTCATGTTGCAGGAGTAAGAACCCTGTTTATGGTGCTGGTCATTCAACCAACAGTAACATGCTAAGCTGCAATGTTTCATTCTAGGTATACACCTGTCCAAACTGTGAAGCCTGGTTCTGCTCAAATAAAGATTTAAACCAGCATGAAAAGGAGCAGCATGCCAAGCTTCAGGTACTTATTTTGTTACATAGTGCCAGTGTGTGTGATATTGTCATGTATGTATTGTCCTGGGCAGAAGTTGTTGCACTAGACAATGTAGTGAGAAACCTGTTGGATATGTCAGGCCATATGACATAAGTTGATCTACACTTGGATGATTCTTAATATCCAAAACATGGCGTGCAGGTTTTGAAATACTGGCTATGATAAAGTCAGGAGCAGCTAGCTGTTATGTTAGTTATGTATTTAGCAAGCCTACACACCATAAGTTGTCATGCTGTTGGTCCAATGACTAAGGTTTCAAAAAAGTTTGAAATCTTAAAAAATGGGAAAGTATGTGTTGGGCACAGACAAAATTGTCTTGACTGGTGTTTGCTCCCATTCTTTGTCATTGATGCTTTATGTGCAGGGGCCATAGGCCAGATTGCCTTCAAAGTGAGATTGATAAAAAAGTTGAAACTTGTGGGAACAAAACTCTCAGCTTGCAGAGGTATTGCAACTTGAAGGGAGAGCTGTGCACAAACCATTTCATTTGGATATCTTTATGAATTTGCCTCTGCCAATCTGTCAGTCACTTAACACATGCTGTTCACATGTGAGAAAACAAGTTGATGAGCTTCAGGAAGCCATGTGTCTATTCCAGTATGGCTCTCATTGTTGCTATTGATACTTTATATGTGCAGGCAATGAGCCAGATTGCCTTAAAAATCTGGATTAATTCAAAAGGATGCTGGGATATTGTCAAGGGTCTTATGCTCTCATCAAAGGGAGTGTCACATATTTCTGTGGGGTTGTTAATTGAAACATTCTCCTTGAAGACATTTCAGTGCACTTTACTGCCCTGTCCCTCAGAAGTCCTGAACCTGTCTAGTTTCTGGGCTACATGCCCGCGGAGACGGGGAGGCTTTTTCGGGGAGGGTATTTCAAGGACACCATGGCATTCATGACGTCATAATAACGTACTTCAAATCCCGCCATTCTACAGCCCATGCGGCGATCAAGACAAAGAAAAAAATGATGCTTGAGTTATATATATCCCGCGCTCGTGAGCACGATTTCCGGACGGGGTTTTGAACGAAAATGGCCATCTTGAAGACCTTTTTGTGCTGTTCACCATCCTGTCCTTTTCAAGGCCTGAGCCCCTCTAGTTTCTGAGCTGCACGCCCGTGAAAGGGAATGTATAGGGGCGGACAGTATTTCAGTCAGCTTGACATTCATGACTTTATAATGCCGTCAGTTAAATCTTGCCATTTTATGAGCCATTCGGCGATCAGGGCCAGGAAAAATACAATTTTGGGTCGTTCATATCTGGCGTTCGTGAGCGCGATTTCCAGATTTAACGGCTGTCAACTGGCAGCAGAGTACAATGACATGTTGTGCAGAGTGCAGTGACGTTATCAACAATGGCGCATCGAGGAGTAGATTACTTTAAAGAGAATGACGCGTGTAGAGCAGTCTTTTCCACTTAAGAAGTATATAAATCGTTATAAGTGAGCTTGTTTCATCATATCTGATCCTTGCCTGCATATCTTAAAATGTGGAGCATTCCATTCAAAGTTATCATCCATTTCAGAAACTGCAGTGCGACCAGTGCGACTTCCGAGGAACGAAACTGGCGCTGGGGGTGCACCGTGCAAGAAAACACAAAGATCACTTTAATGATGAACAGGTAATTTTGGCCTGTTTGGTGTATGTGGCACTATGGTCCTGCTCGATCTGTCGTCCGCGCGATTATCAGCTGGAATGCGTGACGTCACGCGTGCTGCCGGAGCGTTCGATGTCTGGGCTGACGGGAGAGTTTCTTAACTTTACTTTTCCCTCTTCCTTTACCTTTTACTTCGGACCACACACTCATTCCGGGTTACTGGCGACCATGACACACTGCACTACCTATGAAGTGATGTTTGGAAGTGTGGCTTCTGTTACGGTGTTACCATCATTTATTCCATCCCATCCTGTATGTTGAGCGCTACTTGTCATTTCCAGTTAACGTACGTTTCTTCTCCCTTTTTAAGTGTTTAGTTAACGCTATCAATTTACTGGGGAACATAACCACACACGACACCAATCACTGTCAGTCACCTTTTCATGGCTACTCATGGCATTTCGATTCCCTCCTTATATATCTTACGTCGCCTTTCTGCCAAACTAGAGACTAGTGTCCCCACATTACCTTACGCGCGCGGCCACGCAAGAGCTACCAAATCAAACTCCCGCTTCCTTGTAAGAGGTTTTTTTAATCTGGTAACACCTTCTTCCCATGCTGACAAGCTGACCAAAAACTGGCATCATCGTCAGCTGGCGCGTGACGTTGCAGGCCATATGACTTTGTGGTCACGTGACGTGATGTGGGGCGAATGCTGGGCCGTGATTGGCGCTAGCAAACGTGTTGACGACAGGTCGAACGCGGCCTATGTGTCCTGGAAAATTGAATTGGCTATGGCAGCTACGTGCTATATATACGTTCCCACAGTTTCCAGCTATAAGCTTACACCTGCCGATCGTCCCACCACGCATCACCCAGCAACATCTGACATAGGTCTTTAAGAGCTCAGCTGCGACATCGGCAAGGCATTTGCATGCAAGTCGTCGAATCAGTCACGGCCTTGGTTTGCATTGCTGCTACGATTTCTCCTCCCTTTCGATTAACACATAGGAGATGCAAGTCTTCTGAATTGCGAAAATTTGAACGCCGCTCAAGGCCATGTCCAGATGTTTAGAGCCCGACGTCGCAGTGCCACCAGGCTAACCTGTAACGATGCAGCAGAACATGGTTAATGGTAACACCAAAAGCGTTCATCGTTGTATTTAGCTGGCCACGGATCCCCGTGCTTAAGCCCATCCGTTTTATAGCGTTTTCAATCTTTTTTTTGGTATCTTAACAACCAGATCTAAGCAGACGGCCAGGCAAAGCAGCCTGACCAGAAATAAGTCAAAGACGTGAAATCAAGTCATCTACAAATCACTCAGCTATCTGGAAAGTTACCAGTGTTGCCCCGTAGCAATTTCAATGTCCGCGCCGTTAGTTGTGTAAGTTTATGTGGCAATAAAAGCCCGTGCTCGTACCACAGTCAGCTGAGCGCTGGACATCCGGCCACTGAAGTGTTTGTCTAACATGAGTTGGCGCCATAGACACCTTACTCGATTATTTGGCTCCGGACTGGATCGCCCTATGTCGGCCAGACGGTCCGTTAGCCAGCCATCAACACCAAAACCGATCCCAGCCAAACATGCCTTGAGTAGGAAAAACCCAGGGGCTCGGCGGAAAAACTGCTAAGGTGTCGCATGCTGCCCGACTCATTGAATGCAAGTTATCCCTGGTAAAGTGTACATCATTTGGGTCCCTCAAAGTTATTTCTCCGCAGCTCTTTACAATGTTTTATCGGTAAATGGTCGACAAGTTGTTTCCGATTGCAAACTGAACATTTTTTCTGCACCTACGAAACATAATCATGGCGCAAGTCGGCGTGGGATATAATTGCACGTACCGCTGTTGTCATTTAAACACCAGGTGCTTTTCAGAAAGTCGTGCCGATATGAGCATATTTCTCTCTATGCGAGGTGTTTCCAACACACAGCCAATGCACATGCTATTTAAAAACCTGTCCGTCATTCTGGCACATGCTATGCAGCGTCAAATGGTAATCCATTCATTCGTACTTCAAGTTTGTGACTTTTCAGAAGCTGCAGTGCGACAAGTGTGAATACCGGGGAGAGAAACTGGCGCTGCGGGTTCACCGTTCAAAAACACATCGAGACAGTGCTCGTAATAAGCAGGTAAGCTCAAACCTCGTTATAACTGGCCGCCTGCATTTTGATTCGTGGCATAGGCCTGCGTTCTGTGTGCTATGGCCTATATTCGATGCGTGGTATATCATGTAATTGCATGCCCAACAAATTCACTCGTGTTTTCGTGCCTGGGCTTAGCTTAACGTGGCCTGGCTCTCTACCTGACGTATCGACCTTAAACTCGTATGAAATATTAGATATGCAGTGTGTGGTAAGGACAGATTGATTAAGTGTGTCGACAAGCAGTATGTACGTTGTGATTTACGATACGACTCGAACAGTACAGGTCGGTGAGTTCCGTGCGACATGACTGTGTGGCACACGTATCAGATCGTAACTCAACGTTTCCTAAGCGAGTGACCGAGTACGGCGCTATTGATGAAAACTGTCGTCGGGAGCTTTTGTCATGACGCCGCTGATAGCAGGTGTGAATGGTTCAAGTAGCGCATTTTATAGCGAGATCTGTGAGCGGTTTCCCAGGCGTTTTGGTCAGGTAGAATGGTTTGGGCGCATTGTAGTGTGGTTGAGAGCCGCCTTTGTCCTCAGCAATCTCTTAAGTTGAGAAACAGCCCTGCCAGTCATGTTTCTCATGAGCTATGTATTGGCAACTGATGATCGCCTCTTCAGACCATTTGCATGCAGTGCATCTGCTGATGCATCGTTGGTCGATGGCTTCCACCGTCTTACACGATTTCAAAGCATTCAGTTGAAGTGATTCATTTATTAATTATGTTAATTGATAAGTTAGATTCAGTTGAAATCGATCACGTGTAGTCAATCCATTTTTTGTTCAACCTTTCAGTTAGTATCAAGTATCAGTTAGTCTCGAAAAACGTACGTACAGCATATATGTTTGCCTTCGGCAGCAGAGTCAGCTGGGCGGCGCGCTGTCCGCGTCTCAGGCCGCGTGTGCCTCGGGGCGCTGCTCGTTCCGAGCAGATCAATGCCGCTCTGTGGCTGACAGCGGAGCCTGTGGATGCGGACCTCGGCGCTCCGCCGGGCCACCTCCGTCCGGGTTTTGTCCCACCAACAGGCCTTGTCTGTCGCGCGTGGAGTCGTCGACTTCGGTCTACGGCCTGCGCCTCACGCCCGGCCGGAGCTGTCCTCCGGCCGGACTCCGCGGGTGCTCTCCGCCGCTGAAGACCGGCTGGCCTTGTGAGCCCGCTGTCGCTGCGAGTTGCTCTTGACTCGTCGCCACACAGCGTTGCGGGCGTGTGTCGACTCTGGTCGGCCCGGCGGTGTCAAGTCTGGCAACGGCTGCCAGTACTGCAGCCTGCCTGGCTTGCCGAGATTCTCAGACATAAACCATTTAAAAGTGTAATGCCCACGACTCAGGGGATGGTGGATGGTTTAGCTCAGTAAGCGAGCGTTTGTCTCACGACCAAGCGCCTCGGAGTTGCTGCCGCCTGGCTCTGGCTAACCGTTCCGTCGCCCTCGGCAATCGGCTTGGGTGACGTCGATGCTAATTAACCGTAGCGGGGTGCCGGTAGTGTAGTGGTTAGGGCGTCTGCGTCAACCACTGCGCGTCTGGGAAACCAGAGGTACGGGGTTCGATTCCCCGCGGTGTCCGCCCTTTCTGCCAGGGTGAGAGGCAGGCGACGCCATATAGCCTCAGCAGCTGAGTGCGTCGTAAAGCCCCAATGACATAACTAACCATAACTGTTCAGTTCTTGGTAAGGCCCTGCCCACAGGGCGCGGATCCAAGGGTTGCGCTCGAGCACTGGGGCCCGGCCGCACACGTCAACTTACGTTTTCCAATCCACCTCTGACATCCCGCCGTCCAGCTGCGCGTGTCTCGTGTCAGTGCTGCGCGCTGTCCTGGTCTGGGCCTGGTCGCCAATCGTGTTTCGCGGCTTGTTAAGCATTGTAAAGCTACTTTTCCTTGTTTCAAAGAGAAGAAGCTGTTTTTGTTCGCATTACAGCGTTGCAAGATCATTTGAACACAAGCAGGGGATAGTAAACATCCTAGCACTGATACAGCACAATTTACGAGGGTTCCGATTTTCTATGCTGAAAACTGCAGTATCCTTTGATCAGTGCTGGGAAAGATGAAACCTTCTAGATAGTAGTGCTACTGGGCCAAGCCGTGTCACTCGTCGCGGCAAATTTTTGAGCTGTTTTCGTAATGCTGTCGGCCTGGTACCTTGATAGTAAAAATATGTTTAATGAACAGCGATATGACTCAAGGATTTTGCCTCGCTACCACAGTATAGTCTTGCTGTTGGGAGCGATTTTCATGCCATTTGTTTGTAAGTACCAGTCTGCTGTATTGGACGTGCAGACAAGGACATCTCAGATTTCCTGATTCATTTAACATGTGGCACGCTATTGTCTGCAGATATGCAAGGAGGTTTCGGACGGGGAGCCTTGCACGGAAACCTTCTGGTCGGTGATCGGTCTCAGAGAGCATCTCGCCAAACGGCATGGAATTGATGCGGCGACCCACTCGCTGACAGAGGAGTTTAACTCCGTGGATGGTACGTGAACAACATACAAACTGCATATCCGTAGCGTCTTGTCGCTTTGATGTGGGCTTATTATCGGTTCACCCGCGTTGTGTACCCAAGATACCGCGGATGGAATATTTTTGTTTTCATATTTTTGAAACCTTAAAACAGTAAGATGTGCTCGCCGCATCCCCCGACAGTAATGTTCATCGTCTACGTCAGCTGGATGCCCTCGCTGAACGCGATCGCCGGTCCTTCCGTTGCATTACCATCGTTGCGTAAGAAATGTCGTCAAAACTTTAACAGTGTGCAGTGATAGCTTTGTGCTGACCACATTGGTTAATCAGTCCAACGTTGTATATCACAGCGAAATTAGCATAAGGTGGTAGAGCGTGCTAGCTTGCGGAATGTATTTCCAGTTTAGATGTGCTATGCTGTCATAGGCATTTTCTCGTCATTCCTTGTTTATGACATCTAAGCCATGTTGCTTTGCGAAAACGTTCACATCCCTTCACCCATTATCGTTGATTGACGGCGGTGTGTGGCATATGACGTAATCAGGGATAGATTTGTCGTAAAAAGATTTTGTTTGTGGTAGATTTGATGTTGGTTACCAACATTCCTACTCCATTGTACCATGCAAGATTATCTGCCTTCTGCATAAGGCGTTCGAAATTGTATTATAGCATACAGGAACCACAGTCATTGTCATCTCCAACATTTGTGACAAACAATCCATGTTGAATTTATTGTGATATTTAGCCCAACATATATGTATGTTGTCATTTCAAAGATCTGGCCGGTGTTTGAAAGCCCACGCGCGGCTTAGTTTTTAAAAGGCATGCTGAAGAAACCACCATGTTTCAGAATTTCAGGCTTGGAAGGCCCAGTACGAGGCAGCCAATGGGGTGGTGTACAACATCGCCTCCAGCCGACCCCGGAGCGGTACAACGGCCCGCTACTTGTGCTCCCGGTCCGGCGTGTACGCACCGGCAGGAACCGGGAAGAGGCGGCTCAAGTCGCAGGGCACGTGCAAGCTGGGCTGCCGCTGCACGTCGGACGTCGTGGCGACTACCCGGGAGGACGGCACGGTGCTTGTGAAGGTGCATCCGTTCCATTACGGTCACCCCACCGACATGAGTAACATACCGCATGTCAGGATCCCCAAACTACATAAAGCTGCCATAAAAGGTGAGAACGGAGAAAACGTATGTTTGGAGTGTCGCAGACTAGTGCCACAGACTTTTGACTTTATTCGGACATAACTAGTGTCCTGCGCGAGTGCAACTCACAAAGTTTCAGGTGTTAACCTGCGAGCACATTGGGATGCCCGATTGCACGTTGCGGTTAGGAACGCTTGAAATTGCCAGCACGTTGTAAGCCGTCGGCCTCATTGAAAGCGAACGACTGTCTTCACACTCATGTGCGAATGAATGCAGAAACAAACACCAACGTTGCCGTCTCCACTTCCAGAAAAGCTGCTGAATGATGTGCCAATGTCGCGGATTATTAAGGACGTGCGGGAGACGTTCGGAAGAGACGCGGCGGCAGGCACCAGCGCCAGTCGGACGTACTGGCTGCAGCGGCGGGACTTGCATAACATGTGCCGGTCGGTCGGCGTCACGGCGGCGAGCCTTGGGGAGCACCTGCGCGTCACCAGGGGCGGCTGCACCCGCAAGACGGCATTAGAACTTCGGACCTCTGGGGGCATCTCTACGAATATCCATGTGAAAGCTTTTCAACGGGTCCTTAAATACCAGCACCTCAACGGAAAGATGAACAAGAGGGTTGACGAGTAAGCAGCATTTGAAACATCACCCTCATCCCCTTACACACAGCACAGTCCACATGCAGTGAGTTTGGTTTTGTTCATCGGTACAAGCGGTGGCGTCAGCGGGTTTTAAGGCGTGTAGGCCAGCCCGGAACACGGTCGGGACGTCGCTGCTCTCTGCAGCCCCGCTGCAACGCAACAACGTGAAACGCTTATAATTATTTTTGGTTTTCCTAATAGTATAATGGCACATGGACACCTGGCCAGGCTTTTGGGGGCGCCGGTAATGCAGTGGTTAAGTTGCGTAACGGGTTCTAATACATATTACGGTTTGCTGTCTGCGACGGGTTATTCCGTGGCAATGTGTGATGGCGCGGTAGCCGAGTGGCAAGAGCGTCCGGTTGCCACGTAAGAGCTCGGGTTCAAATTTTGGTTTCACTTTGGCCCCGAGCGCCGACGTGGCCTACACATTCACTGGCGCTTCAGATCAGGGTGTGCGACGACGCGTCGCACTCTATTATGAAAGAAAAAACGGCGCGAGTGTGCGGATCCTTGTAAGTACGCACGTTAGTACGTGCGTTAGTTCCTACGTTATTGCGTGCGTCAGTACGGCAGTGCGTAGTTTGGTTTTTACGAACCGCGTATAGTTCGCGGGGATTTCAGAGCCGCTTCAGCATTCTTGGTATCGACTGGCGTATTATATGCACAGCAGCTTTGGTGAATTGATCATGTGAACCAAAAAGGAACTGGTTCATGAGGTATGTCGTTCGTCACTCGTACGCACGTGTAATGAATTTACAACACTCGCGTCCACACAACAAGGATTATGATAAAGTGCGTTGTATACGGGTATTGTTGCATGTATACTCAGCACGTATTTTTTGCCAGCCTCGTGTGTCCCGGAATGCATCCCCTCAGTGCAGTTTCACTTTTCGAATTGCTAGCTTTTCCACCAATTGTAAAGAAAAGCATTGATGAGAATCAATACTGGTTTGGATGGGAACTTTTGCCTTACAAGACAAAAATTAAGATCCGGGCTAGTTTTGAACAGTTCAGTGAAGCGTATTGAAGAGAAGTCACATGCGTTCCCATTAAATGCTTTCCGCTGCCTGTTTGATGCGATAAATCATATTTCACTACATTTCAGGCGCACCGCGGCTCTTCTCGACATCGGCACCGACCGCATGGTCAAGGTGAGCCGCAGGCAATTGTGGCAAACCCCGAGCCCGGACGGCACAAAGATCGCCAAGCGGCACACCGCCGCAGCAGCTCTGGTGGCTTCCGGCAGCCCCAGCGCTGTGTCCGTCCCGGGCAGCCTGCCGCCAGTGTGGACGGTGGCCAGCACCGCCACGACGCCAGCCCACACTGTGGAGCTGGAGCACCGGCGCTGCACCGACCCCGGCTGCGACCGGCGGTGCCGGGAGTGTGGCGTCTGCGCGCATCAGTTCCGTTGCGAGTGCTCCGACTGGGTGGACCAGAAACTAGTATGCAAACATATCCACTTGGTGTGTCTCCTGGTCCCTGAGATGGTCGCTCAGCTGGGGCAACAGGACAGCTGTCCTCAGAGTCCGGACATCCGTCTTCCTGACACACCAGACTCGCCGCCGCCGGCCATCGAGCAACCAGACAGCCTCAGTGCGTACCAGCAGCGCGTTCTGGCGAAGTACGCTGAACAGTCCGCGCGCGTGACCTCCACCACGGACGACGTGCTGAGGCAGGTGGATGCCAAGCTGCGGGAGGTGGACCGGCTGCTGGCCATTGGCGCTACCCCCGGTCAGAAAGACCACCAGCGGACCGGTGCGGGTAAAAGTCAGACAAAGCACACCGGGATCAGACGGCGGTCCGCCTTCAGTCCTCACGCCCGAGACTCGCAAGGTCACAGTCCTCCCAAGGCACAGCAGCTGGCGCGGCAGTCAGGGTCATGTGACTTCGCTTTGTGATGAGGACGTCGGCCCGAAGCGGGTCCTCCGCGCCCATGAGGGCATGCTGACCTGGCAGGCAGCCGGTGATGAATGGTAGCTGTTGGCGGGTCCATTGTATCCGGATACTGGTACCACCTACCGTAATATAATGGAGGCAGACGCCAGCCGTGTTTAAGTCTACGCTGTAGTGGGAACGGAAGAAAAGGTACACCTGAGCTCCTCCAACACACGTCGTAGAACCGATGGCGGCATCATCTTGAAACTTTCAGTAGCGGTCTGCCATGGAGCTGCTCATCGGATGGGAGTACGTATTTTAGAAATTTAATTCAAACCTTTTGAATGGATGGATTGGTGGGATCAGAGCTCGCGTTAAGCGGTGGGTTTTTCGACCGTGGCCCGTACCATGCGATCGCTTAATTCCTGACAGATGACATAAGTGTGTGGTGAGATTTTAACGTGCCGGATGTCGGGGCCGGTCCGTCCTGCCCTCTGACGTCACTGAATCTTAAGCACGTCCGCCGGCCGTAGGTCACACTTGCCGAGACCAAATGGCGAGCGCCTAAAGCGACCCGAACCCGCCCCGCCTCGGATGGGTGGATCGTGAACCAGCTCAGGTCAGCTGAGTCATCTGGATTGACAATGAAATGCACTTAAATTGAAAGTCAAATTTAAATGGACTTACATTGTATGGGGCTTTGAACTGAGAAAGTCATTTGCATAACCATTCTGTGCAGCCCGCGATCATGCCCTTTCAAGGCTCCAAGTCTTGTCTCGTCAAGGTTCGTCCGTTTCGGTGGCAATTCTGACACCAGTCTTGCAGCAACTCTAACGTCATAAAAACGCCCCATGACAAACGAAAACGCATTGCAGAACATGGCTACTCAATGGTAAAATGTTGTTGTCTAGAGCGCTTTTTCGCGCTTCAAAGCTCGCCAATAGGGACAAGTCAGCTACTATGGCATATCCGATGCTTGTCTTGATATCAATAAATGAAGCGTTCCGTTTATTTCGCTTTTGAGGATCCTGAAGCACACATCGGATATAATGAAATGAGCTCACTGAAAAATATTGGCATACTTGTAAGTGCAAAGGACTGCTGTAGACAACAAAATGAACTTTTTACTAAACATGCTCCTCGATACGTCATTGTTTGATTACGCCATGCATGTTTCGTATGACAGCACTTATTTGTAGTACTTCAGTCCCCCGATAGGTGGCTGGAGTTATCCTGAACGTGTGTAAAACCAAATATCGTGAGGCGCCCGCGTCTAAGCACTTTCCCGGGATGTTCGTGCATGTCTGTCGGTGAGTTTAAGGTGTTTACTTGTATTTGCATTCTCTGTTAAAGTGCTTTTCTTAAAACGACTTTCACATTTCAAGATATTGAAGCAAGCATCAGACATGAAGCAAACTCCCATGTTACCCTATTGGTGTACATTTAAGTGGAAAAGACTGTTCTAGGCAATACAGTTCTATGTTTTGTCAACATGCTCCTCAATGTGTCATGATTTGCTTGCGTCACCATACCTTGCACAGCATTGATGGAGAGCCTATTGGCGGCAACTATCTCTAGAAATCGTATTCACGAACGGCAGAGATAAACCAGTAATTACGTTTTTGGCCTTCATCGCCACGTGGCTTATGAAATGGCAGGACATAAATAGCGTTATTTTGACGTCATGGATGCCAAAGCGACTGAAATACTCTCCCTGGCATACCTGTTCCCATTTTCCCGGGCGTATAGCTCAGAAATAAAGGGTTCAGGTCTATGAAGGGCAGGATAGTGAACAGCACCGAAAGGTCTTCAAGATGGCTATTTCAGTTGACAGCCCCATATAAATGTGGAACGCTCCCTTTAAGTTGGCGATTTCAAACTTTATTTTTGTTATATCTGGGAAGAATGTTCAACCGTTTGTATTGTGTGGCACAAGTTGTAATTCACATGAGATCATCGTACCCAATTATCCTCTTTCTTGCTTTATCCTGAATCCTCGCGACGCCCGCTTGTCCAGAGCAGGCTGCATACGTCAGCCCAGAGTGGCCGAGAGGCCCCTTGGGAAGGGGGCCCCGACCGTGTGCCCAGCGCACATTCCGAGGAGTCCCTGCGTGGGCTGAAGCTCGGCGGTTGTCGCCCCCCCCCCCCCCCCTAGGCGCATACAGTCCTGTTCCGCCGTTAGCCATTCTCTTTCATTCCATAGCCCTGAAATGATCACTTCTGGTGGAAAGGACTCTTATTCAAATAACCAATTATGATAGCAGATTGCATAGCTCGCCCAGCCTTGATTGGTAGCCAATCGACGGTCGTGATGCCTGAAAATTGTCCTGACAAACACCAGATGTGAACGAACCATTAAAGGGAATGTTTCGCATTGAAAGATATATAACTTAGCATCAGGCATGATCAAGCAAGCTTACTTGTAACCATTCGTATACGTTTAAAGTGTAAAAGACCGTTCTGGACTGCATAATTCTTCTCGAGCAAACACTCTCCCCAATACGTCATGGTTTCATTACGTCATCGCACCGTGCACAACATTGATTGAGAGCCGGGGCGGGGCAAACCGGGCAAGGCGGCCGTTGTATCTGGAAATCGCGGTCATGAACGCCAGGTATAAACGCCCTGACAATTATATTTGCCTTGGCTTTGATCGCCTTATGGGTTATGGAATGGCAGGAATTGAATGACGTCATTATGACGTCATGAATGCCAAGGTGACCTTGAAATACTCTCCCCCCCCCCCCCATATACCTTTCCCAATTTTCGCGGACGTTCAGCTCGGAAGCTAGAGGGGCTTAGGTGTTTAGAAGGGCAGGATTATGAACAGCATCGAAAGGTTTTGATGACCATTTCGGCTCGAAACGCCACGTAAATGTGGAGTACTCCTGTTAAAGAGTGTTCCACATTTGTATGGGTTTTGAGCCAAGATAATCAATCATCTTGAAGTCTATTTCGGTGCCGTTCACAGTCCTGCCCCTGTTAAGACCCAAACCACTGTTACTTTGCCTGTTTGCCTGAGTTGTATGCCTGCGAAGATGGGAAGGCTATTTCGGGGCAACCATTTTTTGACGCCTTAATAATGTCATTCAAATCCTGCCACTCCAATAGCCATGCGACGATCAAGGCTAAGAAAAATATAGCTGTCGAGTCGTTCATACTTGGCGTTCGTAAGCACGATGCACAGATAAAACGGCCGTCAGTTGGTTCTCAATCAATGTTGTGCAATATGCGATAACCTTATCAAGCAATGACGCATTGAGAAACATGTACTATTATACTGGAGAAACGATGTGTGCGTGTGTCCGCCACTGATTCTTTGAGATCATGCGCAAGCTAAACGACAAGGAATTTTTGATGAAATTTCCGCACGACCGAAAGCTGGTGGCAGGGCTCTTCAGTGTGACCTCAAATTTCTGCATTTCGCAAAAGTGAGCGCGTGTTGTGCACAAAAAAGGTCTCCAAGCCCCCAACGCGGGCGACGATGCAACTTTCGCGACTACCGGACTACGCGACTGCCGTACTACTACGCGTCGACTCCCGGAGCCATATCTCAATAATCACGGATCGCAGCGGCACGAAACTTGCACAGCCAGGTAGACAATAGAATAGGCCATCGGAATGGTATGCGTTTAAGGCACCACATGGTACGTGGCACGTGCGCACCTGCTGGAAATATGGAGCTGGCCGTTTTGGCGGGTTTTTACGTTATGAGCTATATGTCTGCGCGCAGTGCAGGTTGATGCGTGAATTTTGATTCCTAGCATTCACTCACTAGCATCCACTTATCTGCATTTTCAGGGCGTATCGCGAGTTTGTGCGACACACCGTTGCGTTGTAAATCGCGATACAAGTTACAAACGACCAAGTTTTAAAAACGGGCACCGAATGCAAGCCGCCACCATTAGAACTATTCATAATTTAGCGTTGAAAACTACACCAGCGTAGCGTGTTGGCCGATTCATTCCCCCTCTATACCACCCATTTGCTGGTCATACTTTTGCAATGATTCGCTCACAAATGACCTGATACTAGTGGGTTGCGTGGCGGCTTTTTACGCCGCAAAGGAACGGTGCTGTCCAGTGTCTCGGCCGACGCAGGCGGTCTCTTCAAGGTTAAACGGCCGTTTGATCAAGTGACTGGCTGCTGTAACTAACTGCCTTCAACCGATTATGCTACCCTCGCACCGTTATCTTGACAACTGCGGCTCGGAGGGACCCGGGAGTGGCACGAGAACATGTGACATGCAAAATGTTTCGGTCGCACGTGTCATGTGGCGCGCGCTCAAAGATGGGCTTTGTTTTCTTCCACGGGTTTACACGTTTCGTGCCAATTCTCGGCATCCGGGACACGGACACCCTCGGGAGTGGCACGCTTCGAAAAGGAATGGAAGAACATGTGCCACGTGTCATGAAGCCTGCGTGTCGAAACATCAATTTGGCTATTTTCGACGAGTTAAACTTTTTGCCGGTATCGCGGCACTTAACGTGCCAAGCGACCCGGGAGTGTCCTGGTTCGATAGGCAATTTAATGGGCAATCACGTGGTGTAAGATGTGATGCTGCAGGTGCACACTAGCTGTGCAGATCTACTTTGCTGATTTCGTCAGTTTTTACGTTTTACGCCATAATTCGGCACTCATCGTATGGGCGCACGGGACTGGTGTGCCGCGATAAAGAATTGAATCGCCAGTCGTGTGTTTACGTGGGCGTACCCACAGGTTACATGCCACACCCACAAGCTCCAGAAAGATTGCATTTCGTATTTTCACACGTTTAAGGGTGTTGTGACGCACTGCAGCACCCAATGCACTCAGCCACCGGGCAGTTGCACGCGTTGATAGCATTCGAATAGAAAATTACGCTGTCTGAATTGGCATGTCACACATGCTGTGTGTCATGCATGCACGAGTCAGCAAGACAGTTTGGCCGTTATCGGCCGTTTTGTCACATTTCGCGCCATATCTCGGCAACCAGGCACCTAGAATCGTGATTTAAATTAAAAAAGATGCATAATTGCATTTTCTGCGTGTTTTAGTACCACAGCGAAGCAAGCATGCAAACGCTTGTACTTACCAAAGCGGAAAATTGTGTTGTTAATAGCAGTCTTCTCCATTGCAGAGAATACCATTGTGTATTTGTGTATAAGTGAGCTTATTTCATCATAACTGATGCTGGCTTCACCATCTTCAAATGTGGAGCATTCCCTTTAAATATATCTGTATTGGCCTTGAATGTCGCGTGACCAGCGGAATGATAGGAGTTGAATGCAGATTCACGGATCTCTCTGTCAGCACAGAGTGAGCGTTATCAGGTTAAATGTATCGTTCTGACAAATGGGGTATCTATTGCGCGTGTTTTGACGCCAAAAATAGCGTCCCTAGCACGTGTGATTTGGGAGCAAAGGTGGTTTTGGGGGGAACACTGCACGGTGACCTGTGGCGAACCGGCTGGGAGACGAGGGGCGGGGATGGGGGGGGGGGGGGGGAGGGGCGGCAAGGGACGGTGCCGCGGAACGCGTTCGGGCGGGACGACATCGCTACATTAACGAAGGCATGCATCATAAACATATGGTCCAAACACGCCAAGCTGTATACCATTATTCTCATATTTGAAAAGCAACACACCTGTTTAGGTTTCTGTTGCCGGGAGGCATGGCCTCGTACGCACGTTGTTGTAAATTTGAAAAGGTGCGATCTCACGCATTCGTGATGTCATTCGATGCAGACAGTGCGCGTACGCTGGTTAGGTGTGGATGCACTATGTTCGCCTTAAAATGACCAGTAAGTCTAACGGCATGGAACGGAAACGACGTTAGGCCAAGCAAAGACGTGCAAGGGACGAGTTGCATGCATGTAATTGCGTTAGGAGCGAAGGAAGTATCTTTTGAAATGGCCTTTCAGCTATACCTTGTTTCATTTTGACAAGTTCCTCTCGACTCTGCCACATTCTGTGCCATCCGGTGCTGTGACGTGCTGTCTTTCGCTCTGTCGTCTCCTTCTTGATCTGTTTTGTCATTTCTAGAACCTGTCGTGTGTACCTGAGAGCTATCTTTTACGACAAACTCCTTCTTATCTCACTCAGCGCTCAGCCCATTTAGCCGTTATCCCTCCGCTCAGCCCAGTCTTCCTGTCGTCTCCTGCCCTGTGCTATCATCTGATCCCTTGTCTTGTGCCATGATCTTCCGCCCTGTCCCATTCTGCTGTCTCCTGTCCTGTGCTCTCGTACGCTGTGCATTTCCGTCTTGCCCCATCTGCCAATCAATCCTTGCCTAATTTGTATTGTTCTGTTGCTTCCTCCCCCTCCTTCCCACGGTTCCCTCCGGTCCTGTCTTCTGCCCTGTCATGTTATGCCCGCTGTGGCGAACCCTTTGTGGAGGCTAGGGAGGGGCGTTGTAACTGGCTCCTTTCGCGAGTGTTCTGTCGTCACGTTAAATGTTGCCCGGATTGGGCAGGGGCTGACTGCACCCTGCCCTGCCCGAGTCTGCCGCTGCTGGCCATGTTATGTCAAGCTCAGGCCCCAGCCCCAGCCCCAGCCCAGCCTCAGTGCCAGCCCCAGTCTCATTCCCAACCCCAGTCCCAGCCCCAGCCCAGCCTCTGTGCCAGTGCCAGTGCCAGTGCCAGTGCCAGTGCCAGTGCCAGTGCCAGTGCCAGTGCCAAGCCCAGTCCCAGACCCAGGCCCAGCCGCAGTTCCGGGCCCGCACCCAATTACAGTCCCAGGTCCACGCCCAGCCGCGGTCCCAACCCCAGGCCCAGCCGCAGTCCCAGGCCCAGGCCCAGCCGGAGTCCCAAGCCTAGACGCAAGCCTAGCCACATTCCCAGGCCCACGCCCAGCCGCAGTCCCAGGCCGAGGCCCAGCCGCAGTCCCGGTCCCAGGCCCAGCCGTTGTCCCAGACCCAGGCCCAGCAGCAGTCCTGGTCCCGCAGTCCCGCACCGAATGATCTTCAAGATGCCTATTTCAGTTAAAAAATCATGCAAATGTGGAACAGTCCCCTTAAAGTACGATAGATCCGCTGCAGCAAAGCGTTCGGGTGATTGATTAATATGTTCAATCAAGGAGTGTTGCGGCATTGTGAGGAGGGCGCCATGTCACACCTCGCACGGTGCAGATTCGGCAGCGACTTGTACGTCGGCGCCACATACACGCCTGCTAACCCGTAGCAACATCGCCGCGGTACCGAGTAGGCCGACGTCCACCCCACGGCCGTATCAGATACCGCGCCCCGACGCTCAACACGGAATCCGGTACAGCGGCGGGTGAACCCTTTGGAACTTTTCCCACGAGCGCCAGGTACAGCGATCCGGTAGAGTTCTAGAACGCCAGTTAGACAGGAAGATAGCGGGGCTACCATCGCTCGGTGTGAGCAAGACATAGCGTCCGCGCAGGCAACGGCCGTGGAGGTCTGCGGCGGGGATTTTTAATGCGGGTAAGTCATTGAACGTTAAAATACAAGACGTTTCAGGATCGTTGACATCTGGCCTTATCTCGCAAAGCTCTTTAAAACTGGCTTCAGTTTTAATTGCTGCTTCCGCAATTTTGCACAGACATACATTACCCCATACGCTGCCATGACTCTCAGAGCGAGTCTATGTTTCTTGATTGTCTCAATGTGGCGGCCGGCTGTTCATACTAGCAAGCGGACACTCCACTCATGGTTCGTAATTGTAACCGAATATTCATTATTATGACCATTTTAACTTATTTTCTTTAGTAGTGTGCATGGATATTGGCTTCATTGCAACTGCCTCGGTTAATTATTAAGTGATAAAAGGCCAAATCTAATTTAACAGCTGATAATACGGCAGCGTAGGGTGATTGCAAACACTGCGCCGTTAATGTATATCATTCAGTAGTCGTTCTTGTTTACTGTAAAGGCTTTGGATGGTCAGGAGCGAAAGACGTGGGAGGGCGGAGTTCGTGGGTGGACGTGGGTGTCGAGTGGCCTAGACATATCTGGCAATTCGGACAAATATTAGTCCCGTATCCCGGTGAGTTGCTGCGATACCTATGGTGTGCATTGAAATCGGATCATTGTAAGGACGCGAAGAACTCGCCCCATCATGATTGAAGATGAAACCATGGAGCTAAAATGCTGGTACAGATTGGGGAACTGGTACTGTGTGCTTGCAACTGCTTGCCTATCGTGGTCTAAAAGTTGCTGGTATTGCGTGTTGAATACACAGGTTGAGCTTGTTTTGTGCTTCTGAAAAAATAGCTGAACCTTCCTGTCCCACTGATGAAGCAATATTAGTCACTAAGTCTTTTGGTGATGTGAAATGCTTTATGAAATAGGCCTGATGATGAGCAAAACAGTTTCACAGCATACCTAATTTTTTCTCCTTTGGTGGTTATGTCCATACCAGATTTTTTCAGAACAGGCTTGTATGTTGCCAGTGGCATAAATGTATTTTTGCTGGATTGGTACCTATTGGTTGTCTCGGGTCCAGCATGTAATGCTGTTTTGGTGACTTCAGGAAGTGAATATTTTGTCCTTAGACTTTCTTAAAACTGCTGATCCATAAAGTGGCATTGAAAATCTGTCTTCCAGATATTGAGCTTAATTTTATAGTTCAGTTAGGTTTGAAACTAATTGTCATGAGCTCCATATGAATTAGTTTATTATTGTTATGTTCATATATGTGGTGATGTCCCATTGCAGAGAACCTGGCTTTCATGCATTGGTGATGGCTAGCTGACAGTGACAGAGATGGAACTGCTCTAGACACATTTGATGAAAGAACATCTGAAATGGAGGATGTCAACAAGCAAGGTTCCCTGCCATTTGTTAGGCTTCCTGTAAGTATCTTGACAATATTATTAGGATAATGTTGTAGATGCAGCAATTTTTTATATAAAGCAATAGTTCTGCTGGGTGTTATATAATAGCAAAGTGTTCTTTGATGTTTGTTCTCTTGCTAACATTGTTTGAACCTTGCCATTCAAAGATGATAGAAGATCATTTATATGATCCTACTTTTTCGAGTTCCTGATTCAATATAGCAGACCTGCCTAATGGTCATTTTTCATCAAGCGGTGTACACTTAATAGCATGTCATGCAGTTGTGTGCCAGGGGCTGCGATTGTGACGTTAGCATCTGAATCTCTGATGCAAGCAGGATTGTAGGTTCCAGCTGCCTGTATGACAGACTGTCTTAAATAACTTGTTTGTTGTGATTGTGTTCCCAAGGTCACTGTGCATCATTTCTGCATGGTGAATTAGATGCTTAAAGTCAGCCAACTGTTGACGATATAAAGAATGTATGGCTAGAATGTAGAACTTGTTTGGGATGTTTGCCTCACAACAAGTGTTGGATGGAATCTATGTCTGGCTTCAAGCCAAGGGTTTATCATCCCTGACAGCAACTAGCAGCAATCAGTATGAAAGATGGCCATTTCATATGACCATAGGTGTATGTTGCATCAATAAACCACAAAGTTATTAGTACGAGTAAGTTTGTAGGCTGATGAGACTCAGTGTGAGCTGATCAGAAACATTGTAGCCTCAGCAGCCTGGGTTGGGTTACTTGGCAAGTGATGCTTTTGACAGGCATACATCATGGGAACCACTGGTCAGTTTGCATCATTATTTTCACATTTTCAGCATCTGGTGGAACAATTCTTGGAAATATGTTGTGAAATTTGCAATTTACTGTAATGCAGAATGTTTGATATGACAGCATGTTCATGCAATGATGCTACATCACTACTGCTCACGTCCTTATTTGATAAACATGGGAAACAAAAAATTGGGAATTGCAAAAAAAAATCAGGTCATATGTAGGAAACAGATCCAAATACTTTGGATCACGTGACCAAGGAGGGGAGCCTGTCAGAATGCTGGCAAGAGGGAAAACTGACGGCCGTTTTGGGAAAGGGTGGGTCAATGTGTGCAGACTGCAGGCTCTCGCCTCTAATGGAGTGCGAACCATCTATCGTGCCATTGTCCGGCGATTTAAGAAATACGTCAGATATCGTCAGCGAGAACAGGCTGAGGGTGACATGAAACCAGCTGTGCCATGCAAGCGGAACGTGCCGTCCCTGCACGATCCCTACGTCATCCCGCGTGTCGCAGCGCCGGATATAGATCGGCGAGTCGGCAATAACGCCTTGTTCGGAGCCGGCCTCAAATGTGACAAGCCGCGACCTAAGTAACGCCACATTGGGCCATGCGAATTACATAGACACTCAGCTGAGCTCATCCTGGCTAATATCAATATACGGTACTAGCGTTGCCTTTTTAGATCTTACGCCGTGGTGGCGAAAAGATTTACTGTTCCAAACCAAATTCACGTGGCTCTTCGATTAAAATTGCCAGGTTTTGGCGGGCCAGCCAATATTCTAATCATACATTTGTCTAATGTTAGGGCGTAACACCAACGCACTGCTGTCTGCCAAACTCATGCAAGTCGAATATTTCGGTCCATCGATAAATTCAATTTATCTAGTTACATGGGTTACCCAAGATGGCTGTCTCCATTGGCTTACGATTCAGTATCATTCTATAATGATAATGATCACGTCTGTTAGCAGCCGTTCTTTCCACACCGGAAAAGGCAAGTAGTTAAGCAAAAAGCCAAACAGGAGCAGTTGAGTAACTCGTTTTGTAATCTGACATCGGAGTATGTGGTAATCGGACATCAGAGTTTTCGTAAGCGGACATCGCAGTATTCCTGTCACCTGTTTTTTAAGAACATACTTCACCTAACGATCAACAGGAAAGGGCTAAATATGCATAAACAACATGTACTGGATGTGATGGCGGTGTCTGTGTCGACAAGTGCTTAAAACATCATAATGTTGCAAAATAGCAGATTCTAACCATTGTATCCTTCGGTATATATATATATATATATATATATATATATATATATATATATATATATATATATATATATATATATATATATTAGTGTGCGTATCATCATATCCAGCTGATCACTCACCAGCAGCGGCGGTTGGTGGGCAGGCCGTTGGTGGTATGCGTTGCCATTTTTAGTCCCACGGCATTCATGTTCTGTCAAGTATCCTCGTTGGATATAAGCAGGTGATCTAATCCCACTCAACCTTAAGGACCAGGGCGTTGTGGGCCAAATGCGGTTCTGGTTGTGCATGTCTCCTGGCTAAACTGCAATCTGGCTTCCACAGCTTGAAACCTGATATTGTCTCGTGCATTCTGCAGTCGTCGTTGCTGTCATGCAGTCGGTTTTTCCCAGAGCTGCGCCCTGGGAGCTTGGCTGCCCATGTTGTGCAGCGCATCTGTGTCCCTCCAACGACGCGGAACGTGTCACCCTCGGACGGGACCTGAAGATCACGGCTCTTCGGGTCCCGTCCAAAGATAGATAGTCCCGCTGTCACGTCGGTCAGCGGGACTATCTTTGTTATCTGCTGGGGCGGGATCATTGGATGGTGCGGCCGCGTTACAACTCGCCTTCAGTGTTTCTGATACTTTGTGTAGCATTCTCTCGGGAGCGGCTAGAAAAGTTTTATGTGCCTCTCAGGTGTTTTCGTTTTTATACTCATTGTCATCGGCTGTCCGTTATGACCACCATTAACCGTTGACTTACATAATACCACGAATGTTTGGTGTGCGTATCCTGCGTTGGTGGGATTTAATGTGCATCCTGGAAAGCGGAGGGAACAGGTCCCATCGGTTGTTTGCAAGGGTACACATAACCCAAACGAGCATATGGAGCATATGGACTTCGTCTTCCTTTCATTGGAAAGCCAGACACGTCGTTAAAAATGAAAAATGGGTTTAAAGATCATATAAGTTACTGGGGCTAAGTAGCATTTGTGTTAGGAAACGTGGCGATAGCGTTGACGGTCAGGCACGGGTGATATTATCACCTGACTGTTCAGGTCAGGAGGTGTCCAAATCTGACATGACCCAGACAACACAAGCGTAGTCACCAATATCATATACAAAGGCTCCTGGTGGCCTGCTGTCGCACTATGTTTTGTAACAGCTGTGCGTTCTGCAAGTTTTGTTTTGTTTTGTACTTAATGAGATGGCGGGTGTAAATGTTATCCCCGCTCTCCCCAAAGGTCGGGTAATTTTAAAATGTCGTCAAGAGTGTGTGTTAAGGAATTCGCGCCTGTTGACCGCTCGTCAGTAGTGAGCACGTGAAGGGAAATGACGTCACAGGAGAGGGCTCCAAGCAGAGAGTGGATGTCAGCCGCAGGACTCGCGGCCATTCCGGGCACGGCAGGCACCAGGTGTGGTGTACCGATTTTGGGGTTCCGGCGCTACATCCTTTCCATCGGAAACAGGCCTCGGCTGAGTGCCCCCTCCCCCCCCCCCCAGACGGCATTCGCGTACTTAAGGACAGGTGTGGACTGGAGCCAGTGACAGCAGGAGAAGCAATTGGCCTGGATAGGTCCCAAGAATCAGCGGGTCACCCCTCGCGCCTGGTCCCCTCGCGAGGCTGCCGGCCTGGCGTGTCTGGGGAATGTCATGTCTTCGCCGGTGACGGCCTGAGGTCGTCTCCTTCGACGCGAGGGAACCGTCTGTAGTTCCTGTAGTCATGCCTGAAGGTCTCAGGAGAGAGTTGGAGCCGGTTTTTTTATCCAAAACATGCTTTACCCAGCATACGTGCAATCTTATTAGTTAGTTTACATTAGTTTCGTCGGATTTCCTGCCGGCCTGTAATCCTCCCGGACTTTGGGAGCTGCGGCCACGCAGAGGCGAGTTGGCCATCGCGGGTTTCCGGCCATTTGGGACCCAGATATTCCTAGGGTGCTCTTGACGGGTCATAATGAACCTCGCTTTCGCCCAGGGCTGGTCAATTTAGACTCATGGCCATCTCACAACTTCATGAACGCTTCAGTTTTGTTTACGCACTGAAACCTCTTTCTGAAATCTAATAAAATCAAAAATGACAAAAAAGCGATCTAAAATATATATGGTCTGGTCATGTCACATGCCCCCCCCCCCCTCTCTCTCTCGGTCTCTTCTCTTTTCTCGCTGGTCGTCTTTCAGACGGCCTTTGACCATGTCGAGCATTGGACCCCGCGTGTCGTATATCAAGGTCCATTGGGGCGTCTCGTACCCCCGCCTGACTCATTGGACTGTTTCCGTGCCATGATTCCGCTGTCGGATTCCGGAGTAAAGCGGGCCATCCAGAAGCAGTGCCGCCGGCTTACGGCTCAGGGGAGCGGAGGTTGCGAGAGGATGTATAATGCAAGTTATGTCCTGTTCCGTGGACGTCGCGAGCGCGGTGTTAAATTTCAGGAATGTCGAGAGGGACGGGTCGTCCGACCCCCTTATAGCGCTGGGACGCCGTCTCCGTGCTCTTTTCGGGCCTGTCAACCGTATCAGTGCGTTCTGGCCGTCACAAACGGATCTTGCATTGTTATCTCGAGTCCTTCGTACTGTAGCGCTATTCGAAACGGTACGTTATCTCCTTAGCGGCGCGAAACTCGCACATGAATATGAAACTAGGCAGTTATCGTCGGAGTTTTCCCCTTAATGTTTGCCGAGTCATCGCCGTTTTTATTTCCTTCTCAATGCGATGTGGAGTTCGGGTGCGCCATTGAGATGAACTGGACCATATGCCGTTGTTCGCTCATCCTATAACATCCTGCGTCTCCCAAATGGATGGATGAAGATTAAACCGGCCATAATTAATGGCAGATCTCCCTCAATTGGGTCACGGTCTGCTTTGATCGCCATAAAACGAGGTTAGGAAGTGTTAGGGCTTCGATCGATTAGCGTAAATTCGCGATGAGATTTGGGGTGGTCGTTACCCTGCGGCGTCCAAGTGCCGCATCAGGAGCCTTCGCGCACTCGCCCCACA